AGTGTTCAAAAACCCTCTTCCATTATAACCTCCGACTACATAAAGTTTCCCGCACAAAACAGCAGCACTAAGTGCACTTCTTTTGTGTATTAGAGGCGAAACAGTTATCCACGTGTACGAAGCTGGGCTATAGCGTTCACACTGTTAAATTGCGTGTCGCCTTCATATCCACTAATGCTGACTGCTACACTGCTAGTCTTCGTCAGGCGAAGAGATCGACAATTTTTGTGTGGCTATTTATAACAAGGGGTAAATAAGATTACCACGAGGAAAGGAGAATGATAATATTGCTTTAAGCATGCAATAGTCTGTTGTATTCTAAAATCTAAAATTCTAAAAATCCTATATCAATGCAGGCGGGCACTTGAGAAATTTTTGTTATCAGATTACATCAAAGCTGTGTTCTATTATACGAATTTTGTATCGTGGTTCTTCAAGTAGTGTTGTGTAACTTAAAACTAGTTGAAATATTGTCAAAATCCACAAAGGCAGCGAAAATCACTTTACTATATAGAATAAACTGCAGTGTTTTAAAAGGATTTCCAGCCCTAGAAGCAAAAATTCCATATCTACGTGCATCCATGCATGAGGGTCGGGATGGGGTTAACTGACAGCTGACATATGGCCAAAATTTTAACTGACAACTGACAAATCGCTGAAAATCTAACTGACAACTGACTTTTGTGGTGGGCTTTTTACATATGTCACATATCGGTTATATGATCTTAGATACCCAGCTCGATCGTCAAACTTACGCGATGGCCGTCACTGCTGGTATTTTAAAAGTTGTTGTAAGCAGTTATTGAATTGATTCGGAAACGGTATTGAGCGTCACAGAAGCCACATTACCAGTAATGATGCAAACACCGCACTGGCGCTGAAAAAGCACCTTATTTCATTCCTTGGTCTAATGTCCACATACACACTCGCTTACAAACCCATCTTTTGAATCTTCGCCACATATGGCGTTTCTCAGCAACCACGAAAAAATGCAGTTAGTGTAAATATTACGTTCCGTACATCTTTCTTGAGTTTTAGTTGTACGTAATTATATTCGAGGCCTTATCATTCCCCACCCCCGGGCATTTGAACTTTTTAAGAATGGCTCGTTCTTATTCCCGACTATCTAGGCCAAAATTGCGTTCAAATGCCCCGCTCAAGCAAACTTTTTATTTAAGGGTTCTCTTTTTTGTGATCAACAAATGATGTAGAATCAAGCAAAGTCACTTATTAGTTTTTGGTGCAGCTGTTGACTGATTCGCTTATATGCATCAAATTGCGCTGTGCAACTCTTCGTTCGAAGCCTTTGCTCATGAAACGTACTCTTTACCTTTAGACTCCTCCATGTTAAAAAATTAAAACACGTGTATTCTTCTTTGTAGTCTTGACGCTTCAGCTTTAAATTCCCCACCCCACCCTCGAGAGGGCCTTTCGTCAAACGACCGAGGGTGTCCGAATCGGGTGTCTACATGTATCTTGTATGACCACATGAATTATCTCGCGGATAACAGGGCAAGAGACAAATTGAATGTCTGTGAAAAAACAACAAGTCAGTAATTTAACGCGAATTTCGTTAAAGGTTTATGAAATGCTGCTTTCAAAGCAATATGTTTGTTTCCTGGTGCAGTACATTTCAGCGATTTCAACATAGACGACTTAAGACAAAATTCCTCATGATATAATTTTATTTGAGCCCTTTTGAACTTGGTTCGTCCGATGCCAACTGTCTTAAAATGGAGCTATCGCTGCGACGCTATCAAAAGCGTTCGTACGGCTGTTTTTTAGTTGATGTTTCTAATAAAGGAACAATGAAGCAATATTTACTTGTTCTAAGTGTAACTAACGACTTCTAAAAAGTCAGAGCATTTAAGAAAAAGCACTTTTATTCATTGTCGACATCCACTTCTTAAGTCTCGTAAAACCTTATTCCCTTTTCAAGATTGTCAAGGGAGTAACTTTTAACCTTCAGTCGTTTTAACATTTAAAAACTTATCTTATTTTGTATTCCCGTACTCGACATATGAGTTTTCTCTTGCGTTATATCAATAATATCTAGGTATTCAGATGAAGAATTTCAATAGTCGTCTGATACTAGCCGGAGTATGAGGAATCGAAAAACAAATAAAATATGACCCAACATTTCTATTTAAACGTGGAATTAGGGATTCGATCTTGACAAGACGACAGTTCGTGCTACAAATGCTCCTAAAATTTTCAAAACTCACCATGTTCACAAACAGTGTGAGAACACAACGAGTCAAACGCCAGAGCTTCTGATTTGCTTTCAGGCGAGCTTCTGCCATTTTAATGCATGGCGTTTCAGCAATCTCGAAACAAATATTGATAACATTTTCGCGCTGTTTTCCTTCCTGAAAAAGTTCCTCTTCAGCGCTGTAGGATTCAATTCTATGTTCCTTGAAAGTTGATGATAACACAAACAACATATAAAATCACGTACTCATAAATGAAGAGTGTCGCGCCATCTTTCCCTCTTAATATGTGGGGTGAAGTGAGGATTTACAACTCATGATCAGGATTAGAACCAATCGAGATCTTTTATATATGTCATGTTAATAAAGGAAATACTGTTTCCTTTTGTCTGATGACCCATTTTTATTTACGTTTACGTTGACATACGTTTGTTGCTAATGTTCGGTGCTATGATTATTATTATCACAATGTATTTTTCGCTTTCACGGCAACTATTCTCTTCCGCAAGCAACTCCATCGTCCTACATACCTTTCTTGCTCCAGTTATTGGTGACAAATCTATACAAACATAACCCGAATGTTTGGAAAAACCACAAAATAGGCAAAAGATAAAAAAAAACATCTGTATGGAGCTTTTACATGATGAAGTGGGACTTTGTGGGTAAAAAATAAAAGACATCTATATTAACAAGCATAATGCCCGTGTTTGTGTTAACTCGTTTATACCTTTTCCGATTGCCTCTAGCTGATACTAAAGTTAAAGGAAAACTGTTCATTAGAAGATATTTTATTTTTAGTAAAAATTAGCATGCTATCTTTATAGCACGCAGCTCTGCCAAAACCTTAGCCTTAGTAACAGTCTTTTCGTCTCCTTCTAGCAAAGCATAAACGAGCCGAATATAAAAGCCTTGTTTCCGCGCTTTCAGGCGGCTCACCTTTCGCTCGCACACCAATCCTGAGGAAACAGAAAGAATAAGTGACATTCACAGCGTGAAGTAAATTTGGAATAAATGATGTACCCTGCCGCATCGGCGGCGATCGACTTATTATTGACAGGAAGAAAAAAATTGACCTTTCTAGACCATGTTGAAATCATGAAGCTTGGAAACTTAGTACCAAACTTTGACTCAACAAGTGGAGATTCAATTGCCATTAAGAGCGGAATCGATATGATAAAGCACAAGCAAAAGGTCAAGTCGGTTGGTTGTCTATACCCAGCAGGAATGTGCGAGATTTTGGAAAGGACAACACAAAATTAATGTCGTCTCCAAATAAGTTACTCTAAACTTTTGGTGCTCATTTAAGAAACAACATCCTTCAAAATCGATTTCTCCAAATTTCTTTTACTATTGCTCGATCATAATCGATCTACACGGAAACTGCTTCGCAGCGTTTGTATTTGTTAACTTGATCTGGACATGGTAGTTTCCCGATGGCGATGCGCGCCACTTTCTGTTCATGATGCGAGGTGTCTTACTGGAATTCTCCGATTATTTCGTCGAAATACGCATACGGCATTGAAATCCGTACCTCGATTTATCCTTCCGGCGTATTTCCGTTGATCGCGACCTGGATAGGGAGAAGGAAAAAAGGACGAATAGTCTAAAAAATTTTGTACTCATGTCATGATGATGTTTATTCGAAGTTTCTGATTCACTATTCATTATTGTCATCATCGTATCACAAATCGATCTCAAAATCTGTTTGGTACTGACCTGCTGGTTGACCGCCTTGAACAGCGCCGTCATTCAGGTGACCAGAAACGTTTGCTGAGGGAAAGATATTTGCCATATCCAAAGCAAAAAAAAAGAGATAGATTCGAATAAACTTGAAATCGGTGCATGTTTGAAACAAACTAAAATAGATATAAAATTGCCTTACCTTTGATCGCGACTTCTTTTTTTCTCTTTCTTGCTTTTACCCATTATTCCCCGAAAACCGATCAGACACGACCTCGGCAAAGATAACCACCGAGCAACTTCCACGAGAATCAAACGTCAAACGATGCCATAACAAGACATTTGACAGAAAACCTGTCAAGCTGTCAAGCTGTGAAGTTGTCTTACGACTCGAAACACTTTCGGCCGGAAATTTCGTCGGAACACTTTTTGCGTCTCTTGTAGTTTTACTTTGCACGTTGTTGATTCACTTAAAAAAAAGCTTCTGAAGGTATATCAGAAAATACATAAGCAAGACAATGTAATAAGAAAGCGGTATTTATTATTCCATTGGCATGACTACGTTATTCATTATTCCGAGGTTTATAAACCCAATTATTCATGATTTACTTTTAACTTAAACCCGTTATTCATTATTCAGCTTTCACCCCAATTCATTCATATCTTCTAAAAGAAAGATGTCGATTTTTTAATCCTGATCATGAGTTGTAAATCCTCACTTCACCTCACATATTAAGAGGGAAAGATGGCGCGACACTCTCCATTTATGAGTACGTGATGTTATATGTTGTTTGTGTGCCTACCAACTTTCAAGCAACATTGAATTGAATCCTGCTGCACTGCTACTCTCTAACCTAAGTTTAGAAAGTTGATGAGCACGTAGCGTTTTGACCGTTGTGTGACCATCAACTTTCAACGAACATTGAATCGAATCCTGCAGCGCTGGTACTCTTTAACTTAAGTTTAGGAAGTTGATGATTTCGTAACGTTATGACCGTTTGTGTACGTGACCATCAACTTTCAACGAACATTGAATTGAATCCCGCAGCGCTAAAAAGGAAAACAGTTCGAAACTGTTACCAATATTTGTTTCGAGATTGCTGAAACGCCATGCATTTAAATGGCAGAAGCTCGCCTGAAAGCAAATCAGAAGCTCTGGCGTTTGACTTGCTGTGTTCTTACACTGTGAAAATGGTGAGTTTTGAAATTTTTAGGAGTATTTGTAGCACGAACTATCGTCTTAGTAACACATGCACTTGCAATGCAGGTTTATAGGCTAAATTGAAGTTGAGTAATGTACTCTTCCTTGGGTATTTCTTTCATATTAGTTATTTAATTTTATCAAGATCCAATCCCTAATTCCACGTGTTAATAGAAATGGTAGGTATAACATAGTGACTCATATTTTATCTGTTTTTCGACCTCTTAGCCTCCTCAGCCATGCTCCGGCTAGTATCAGACGACTATTGAAATTCTTAATCTGAATGCCTAGATATTATTGATATAAAGCAAGAGAAAAGTCATATGACGAGAACGGGAGTACAAAATAAGAAAAGTTTTTAAATGTTAAAATTCGAAATTCGCGTTAAATTATTGACTTGCTGTTTTTTCACAGACATTCAAGTTGTCAATATTGTTTTCGTTTCTTGCCCCGTTGGTCGTATCTGTCGAGTCATTCTCTTCGATATCAGAGAAGAAGGCAAGTGATTATTTGTTTTAATATCCAAGCAGTTAAAATACATTGTCGGGCCGGAAGATAATGAGAATTAAGAAAAAGACATGGTCTTGATTTAGCTTAAAATTCTCTCAGAGAGCCAATTGGAAAATGTATGGTTACCAGTAGGCAGAAATCCTGGATGTTGAGGGGTTAGAAATTTATTGCGTTACCCTTGGCCTGTTTCATAAAATTGTTCCTTTTAAATAAAGATCGATCGTTGCAAGTTCAGTTTCTGTTATGCCATAGTTTAGTAAATGTTGCGTTAACAAAGACCAGAATTTTCAAGTCAGTGCCGTCCAACTTCCTTTTCAAGAATCCATATAATTACATGTAGGTCGAAATACATCTTCTTTTAATTAAATAAAATCCTATTTTTTCTCAGAGCTCTGTCAGTAAATATTCAGTGGAGTTCTCTGAAGGCGGGAAAACATTTAAAGAAGAGATTGCAATCGACATTACAAAGAGAACAGAGACTTTCCATGTACCAAAGACATCACCTAATAAATCAGCAGGAGATATAATCTACGATTTCAAAAAGGTAATATTTGGTTGTATTTGTTGAATACAATTGTTTGGGTTGGTAAGGGCGGCGAAGTATTGAACTCATTCTCTTTAAAAAAAAAACCTTTCACCGATAAGTTGTTTAAGGACCTCTTTCCTTTAACTATTATGTGTTTTCTTAGATTTTTATTAACCAGATTATTACTATCATTTTTTTTTATTAGTATGGCACTTTGTTACGCGCTGCAAGCTTCGCTAAAAGTCTGTTTCATGCCATTTCTTCTAATGATATTAATAACCCCACGGTTAGCTCAGGTTGTAGAGCGCTGGACTGCCGTGCAAGAGGTGAAGGTTTCAAGTCCCAGACCCGCCCAACACTCAGAGTCTTAATATGAATGACGAGAATGTGCTGCCTTTGCTATGACATCTGCAAATGTTTAGACGTTCAATTTTATCCAAATAAGGACGATAAACCGTAAGCCCCGTCTCCTGCATCTTCTCTGTACTGGATAGGAAGGAATTTTAAAGAACCTACGCACCTCTCGCAAAGAGTTAAGAACGTAGCTCCGGTGTTATGGCCTGGCCATGTGTCCACAAATTCCTAAACTAAGAGTACCAACAAAATTTCATTTGAATAGAGCATTGTGAACTGTAGTTTGGACAAAGTCCCCCGAGGAAGGGTTGTTAAGCGCATCAGAGCATATTCATTCGGAAAATGCGCCATTTAAATGCATCTTTATCATTATCAATTACTGCAATAACTCGAGTTTATCTCAGTATAAACTTTTAGGCTTTCAAATGTGTCAGTTCATTGTATCTGTGTCCACTTTACTATTTGCTTTTCCCTAAAGTACCGACTGAAGCCGAGTTTATTTTTCATGCAGCAAGTGACAATGATTCATCTGCCAGCAGAAAAGGCTTGCTATGTGGCGAATTCAGTCGATAAAACTCCCACACCCGCTGTTTTAAAGGAAGCTTTAGAGACGGTAAGATTGAATTACTTCCACACCTTAGGTCTTTTACCGTCAGCCTCGCAATGTTTTGGCGCGTCTGATTGCTAATTCTCATGACTTTGTCTCATTATATAATCAGCATACTTTCGGAACAGGTGAAGACGTACCAACCACCTCAACTGAAATACAAATGAAGGTTGTGGAACTGCTTGACGATCGTTCAGTGCTGAGTATTGAAATGGAGGATCTGTGTGCAAATCTGCCAATTTATGTGGTCGTAAGAAGAGCTATGAAACCAAATGACAAGGAAGTTGATGTGGAGTCTGATGAGGATGTTGATGAAGTCATTGATGAGGAAGCCAGGGATTTCCCTGAAATAACCGATCTATATGACATTCCTAACGCACGTAAGTCGTATTGAATAGGATGTGCTTTCTGGTAACGTAAGGTGTCGGGGTGAGGCTGTGGGTGGGATGTGTTTAGGACAACTATTATTTTTGTTTTCTTTGACAAAATAACGCAAATTAAGAGAGAACTGCTTAAAAGAAAGAATGTAATCCTTAATATCATTCCCTGTTTACATCGAAGATTAGAAAAAAAAAATGGGACCTTATGACCTCTGCGTGCTGGTAACGTGATTCGATTGATGTGTGCTGATTGACTCTCAAGAAAGCGAGATGGGCCATTTTTTCCGCTTATAATTGGCCGCTTGGTCCCTCAATCAGAAATACTTGGGGACTAACGGCAACTTTGTCTAACTACATTTGTGGAAAATTCGAAGATTTATGCGGTGTTTTATTTTATAGCGCATGTGTGCGTACCACAGGGTAATGTGTCACGCATTATCCACGAGATAATTCACGCGGTAATACATGATACATGTAGACATCGATTCGGACACCCAGGGTCGTTTGACCAAAAGCCGGGCCCTTTAGGGGGTGGGAATGTGAACCTTGCCTGGATGGGTAATTTAAAGCTGAAGTGTCGAGACGGCAAAGAAGAATACAAGTGTATTTATTTTTTTTTTATAACATGGAGGAGTCCAATGAAAAGAGAACGTTTTGTGAGCAAATTACTTAGAATGAAAAGTTTTACAGCGCAGTTTGATGCATACAAGCGAATCACCCAACAGCAGCACCGAAATATAATAAGTGACTTCGCTTGATTCTACAGCATTCGTTGATCACAAAAAAGAGAATCCTTAAATAAAAAATTTGCAATTTTGGCCTAGAAAGTCGGGAGTAGAATCAGAACGAACCAATCTTTAAAAGTTAAAAAAATACCCTGGGCGGGGTGTAAAACTCAAGAAAGATGTACGGGACGTGATTTTTACACCAACTGAATTTTTTCGTGGTTTCTAGGTGAGAAACGCCTAATCTGGCGAAGATTTAGAGGATGGGTTTGTAACCGGGTGTGTAACTGGGTAACACGACGGATTTGCAGACGTGTGTTTAGGAACCGCCGTTGGCGTCGGGTATGCCATAATGTCCGACGGTTGATATGTGGCGTGGTTTGTAAATAGAAGACACGAATAAGATAAACTCTTCTGTCTGGAACCAAGTGTAATAATTTTTTTTTCAATGAGAGGTTAATCCCGTTGCGCCATCCTTTGAGCTAAAATTCAGTTCCGGTTTCATATCCTATAACCTTAAGTAGTGTTTTTTTATCCAGACTCGTGAATCGATTTTCGGGTCGAAACGCGAGACTCAACTACAAAACTTTTTTTCTGAAAATTTTCAACAAGTCTACCTTTTATACGTTAATACTAGGAAAAGTCGCTTCTATCTAAGATTTCAATGAACTACTCGTTGATTCAGCTTTCGAGGAAGTTAACAGTATACTCAAGGAAAAAAATTTATGTCCTTCAAATGGATCTGGAATTTCCATTCAAACCGATGAAGAAAAGAAATATTGCCAAAGTTTGGTTTTATTTGGTGGCCATGTTGGGTTTGGATTTCAATTGGTTGAATCAGACATTTGAGCAAGATGGAAAGCGCCCTTGATTATATTAGAGGTTTTTAGATCGTAACTGAAGTTGAAATACAGTAGATGGTTTGAACCCAGGGGTAACATGTAATAGTGTAGTTTGATCGTCCGGGTGAGAGTAGTTCTGAGAAGGACTGTTGTCGGTAGTGGTGACTGGCGTTTCGACAAGCTGAGCGGAAGTCATCATCAGAGTCTAGTGAAAGGTTGTTGTCAGTCGAATGTACTTAGTCCGGTTTGTGTACACTGATTGTTCAGTTTTGCCGTGATGTTATTGGCTGTAAGACTCAAGTGGCGTAGGTCAGTCGTGATTGGTCGGTTTGGATCCGTTAGTGAAGTTAGGTCGTTCTGTTCGGGTCGTTTGTAATGTTAATGTAGTTTTCGTCTGGATTTGTCGATGAGCGGTTGTAGTATTGTCGTTAGGTACTAAGGACGAGTTACTGTTGTCATGGACAAGACTGACTATCACGACAAAATGGACACACTTGTTAACGACAAACAGACTTACGAAGAACTCAAACGTGACCCGGCTCCTGCGCTTCAATGCAAACTCAACAGCACATTACTGACACTCAAGAAGACAAACGCCATTGACACCCAACGCTACTACCGACTAAGGTGCTCAGTACCACAGCCGCCGAAACTTTATGGTCTGCCGAAACTACACAAACCTGGTTTCCCAATGCGACCTATTGTTTCCTTCTGTGGTTCTCCGACATACCAACTGTCCAAGTACCTAACGACAATACTACAACCGCTCACCGACAAATCCAGACGAAAACTACAATCCACCGAGGACTTCATTAACGCCACTAAGACTGTACAGATACCTGACGACTACAAACTAGTGTCATTTGATGTGAAATCGCTTTTTACAAGTATTCCACTTCAACTGGCACTACAATGTACTGAGACTGCTATCCTACAATCTAGCGACCCTCTACCGCTACCGACAGAGGACATTATGGACTTACTAAACCTTTGCCTGACATCAACTTACTTTCATTGCAACGGCAAACACTACAAACAGTTATACGGTACAACTATGGGGTCTCCAGTTTCTGTTGTTGTAGCAGAAATTGTGATGCAGAACATCGAGGAAAGCGCCCTTTCCACTTGCCGACAGACGATACCACTTTGGTTACGCTACGTTGACGATACTTTTACTGCCGTACGACACGACGAAATCGACGCATTCCACCACCGCCTTGACGAACAAAACACTGACATACAGTTTAATAGAGAAGTCGAAGAAAATGTTAAACTACCTTTTCTAGACTGCTTGGTAAGCCGTGACGACAATTCACTACGGACAACAGTTTACAGGAAACCGACACATACCGACAGATTACTGGACGAGTCATCCTACAACCCGACATCACACAAAGCCACTACTATCAGGACTCTTACCCGACGACCGCAATTAGTATGTAATACGACAGACAGCTTATCCGACGAGAACAAGTACCTTAACCGTGTTTTTCCAAAGAACAACTACAACGAAGACTTCATCCAACGTAACACTCACAGACCTACTACTACCGAAGCTAACGACAACGCAACTCCTACGACCACAGCCACTATAACATACAAAAAAGGGCATATCTGAGAACATCTCATGCATCCTACACCCATTCAATATCCGCGTCGCTCACAAACCTATCACCACACTACGTCAGTTACTGACTAACATCAAAGACAGAGACGAACCGAGGAACAGACAAGGAGCAGTATATAAGATCAATTGCTCCGACTGCCACGCCTCCTACATTGGTGAGACTAGCAGAAACCTCGCAACTAGACTGACTGAACACAAACGAGCGACGAGGAAAGGCGATGTCAACAATCACATTGCTGAACATCACCGACTTAGGAACCACACTATTGACTGGGACTCTGCGCAATGCCTAACCTACAGCACCAACTACTTTCAACGACTGACTCTGGAAAGCTGGTTTACTAACTTGGAACAGACTCCCCTCAACAGGTGTCAACCATTACCGGCACAATACAAACGACTCATCCACAACATTAACATTACAAACGACCCGAACAGAACGACCTAACTTCACTAACGGATCCAAACCGACCAATCACGACCGACCTACGCCACTTGAGTCTTACAGCCAATAACATCACGGCAAAACTGAACAATCAGTGTACATAAACCGGACTAAGTACATTCGACTGACAACAACCTTTCACTTGACTCTGAAGATGACTTCCGCTCAGGTTGTCGAAACGTCAGTCACCACTACCGACAACAGTCCTTCTCAGGACTACACTCACCCGGACGATCAAACTACACTATTACATGAAGTTGAAATGATAATGACAATGAAATGATAATGTCCATTTGGCTTGATAACATAACATAACATTTTGTTGCGAAGTGTGACCTTTAAAGCGCTGCACCATAGAAAGCTGGAGAAGAACTTTGTAGAAGATACGAGTTCCACCGGCCAAATCGCAGCCTATTTTTAAGCCACATACATTAAATTTGGTAGCATATAATGTAAATATAACTAGAAAAACGTTTGGTGAGAAATAAAAGCACTTGGTTAGAGTACAACGCCCTTGTGAGAGTCAGTACATCTCTATTTTGCTCAGCTTTTATTCTGGATTCATTGCGAATATCTGCAACGAAAATATTTTTTGTATACTTTGTTAGAGGAGTTTTTTCTTTCGCTTGAGGGTCATCAATAAAACCAAAGTACATCGAGCGCGCGGGTCTTTTATAGATAAAGTTCCGACAAATTGTATTGGCTATATCAACACACGTGAACAAATACAATATCTTTTCACCTGTGTTGTTACGGCTTTTCTCAGGGCCGGAAATCCCTGCATAACACCGCAGTTTATGTGATAAATTACAATATGCAAACTTTTTATGCGTTTGCAGTCTTTTTGGCAGTTGTAGACTACAAGCAGTTCCAGTCTTTCTTTTCAGCGAAGTCCGTCGCCTATGAAGAAAAAAAAATACAAAAAAAAAAGTTGGTGAGAAAAATTGATGATGGGGCGCCTCACTCCCAGAGCTCCCTGTAACGCGCTGACAACAATTCCTTTCTTTCTTTTTTTCCCTGTTTTATTTTGTTATTTTGTTCTTTTTTTTTTTTGACTCGCGCGGCGGACTATGCCGAAAAGGAGGGACTGCTCGTAATGTATCGCAGCCGCGTCTTCTTTGGTCTGGTCACGCAACGCACCCTATTCACAGTGTTGTGTGACGAGACCAAGTAAACTTCACGCCAGAGCGCGCGCAGGTCTTATTTCAGTTTTCATTATGACAGAGTGATTGACGCAATCAACGCAAAGTGTGGAGGAAAAACATTCACAAGAAAAAATGTCTCGGGTCTCTCGCGGCATGTCGTTCGTGGTGTTCTTTTTCACTGATCTTTAATCAGTTTTGGTTTAAGAAGAGAGGCAA